GAGCACGCTCTTTCAACCAATGACAGGGCGCGTTATATCCGAACTTTATTATAATTAACAAATAGAGAAGCATTGGCTGTGCTCTGTTCTGTTATAAAGCACGCAGGAAGCGGCTAGAGCACGAAAGAAGTGTAGGGAGAAACACGAGACGTAGTCGAGTGTTTCTTCCCACTTCTTGAGTGCTCTAGCCGCTTCCTAAGTGCTTTATAACAGAACAGAGCACAGTCAACGCTTCTCTATTTGTTTTATAATAAAGAATCCGTTAAATTACCCAAGCATTACTTTTAATTTTCAAAACAAACTTTATTTCCAAAGCGAACAACAATGTCGTCAGCATGCTCTATACTCTCTTAAAGCACGCTACAATAAGCCAATCAGAATCCTTGTTAGAATGGTTAAAATAATCTGATTGGCTGTTCAAGACTAAAGCTGTCAAAAGTGTCAAACCATCAACGTTCACATTCCACGATAGTTTACAAACTAAAATAATTCGGCTAGTCGAATTTAACACTTTTGCCTGAAGTTTTTAAGTCTCTAAGACAGAATCTTGAAGTAAAATGTTCAGTGAACTTCAGCCGAATTATAACTCATAAAAACACGCGAGTTTTTTCACATGAGAAGGTAGAAAACAAACTGTTCAAGGCGAATGTTTTTTGAATGAACGACAGCCGAATTCACCGGAACATGAAGATCGCTCGGGATGATAGCGCCGCAAAACTCGGCTGTAGTGACTGATGTGAATTGCCACTCAACGTATCGGAAAGGATATCAGAGCAAGCTCTTATTTTTTCACTCGAAAGGCGGCCGATGTAGTTTCTGAGGCTTGCTTTACTGTGATGACAGGAGATTGCCATGATGAGCAAGCCGCGATGAAATTCAGCATGATCATATTCGCTCAGACACCGTCATGATTAGTATGAATTTTAACAATTATGCCAGTTTGGTTATATTTTTCATCATTTCTGTTTTGTTTTTGAACACTGAACTTTATATACTATACGAGTGTTAGCTGTGTTTGATTTTTATTACCGTACGTAAGCTTGCAATCTAACTGAGCGTGAAAATCTTTAAAACTCGGAATGTTTATTTTGTTTTTCCTTTGAGGATTTTCGTATCTGCTCACGTTTTAATAACGTAAATTACGGCGCCTAGTATGTTTACAAACCTTTGTTTGATTCTTCTGTTGCTACTTGCCGGCTCGCTTCAGTTCCGAAATTTCACTTTCAATTATCGGAAAAAAAGCTAAAAAGAAGTCCCGGAAAAGCTCGAACACAGTACAATTGGCAGATGGCGTGACAGCTTTAGCTCAGCTCTATGTTCTATACTCTCATAGAGCACGCTCTATCAACCAATGACAGCGCGCGTTATATCCGAACTTTATTATAATTGCTATTCGAGTACGGTGAAGATGAATCGAGCTCGGTTGCCTAGATACCAAATGTGGTCCCCCTCGTTCTCATGCAACTCGACCCAGATCATCTGAGGCAGCTGCCATTTTGGAAGTAGGTGTATTTACAACTTAACCTCTCATAATAGGAATTGACGCCCCCGGTTACAGCTGTTGACGTAAGAAGCAAAACTCTGTGTGTGCAAGTTTCTAAGTAGCTTAGAAGACAACCAACGATCAAGAACGTTCGTATCAAGGAATCGATTAGGGCGGTTACTGACGTGCTGTTTTTCACAAATTCAAACATGGGTTCAAGACTGTTCCACCGTCTTGGTTCTTCAGCAGCCCTGTTTAGTCGAAAAGATTGTTTTTTATGGACAAACAAACGTCTAATTTCCTGTCTGCAAGAAGGGCAAGTGGTTGTGCGACTTGCAAAAGCAAGTGACTTTGACGAGGTACTTAAACTGTCTAAGAAACTTAAAGACACGTTTGACTATGTCCCCTACAGATTTCATAAATGGCTTCTGGAGCCCAACAGAATCTCTTTGGTTGCCGAAAAAGGGACAGAGGTTGTTGGTTTCGCAGAATATTCCATCGTCGACGGGGAAAAATCAGCGCTTATGGAAGCTGGAAGAATTGATCCTAATCACAGAGGTCATGGTATACTCGGTTTACTAAGGGATTTTACACTTGTGCTTATCCGGGAAAAATTCCCAAAAGTTGTGCGTTCCAGGTACACGGTGTGGTCTGGGGCTTA